GTTTTTTTGTGTATAAAACTGAATTGAGTTGTGTTAGCCTCGAGTCTGTAAGGTGTTTACAAACAAAGACACACACGGAGCATTCCTGGTTCAGGAAGCATCAGTTTATTCTGATTGTAAATGTACAGGTGTTAAAATATTCTCGCTGCCTCTGAATTCAGCCGAGCGTGTTCAGCCTGACGCACACACACACAACGCAATGCACTTTATTTTTAAACACTTCACAACATTGCTGGCTATTGAATGCAGTCCGGTACATATAGGCTGATGTTTCTTTGTTTTTCTTAAATGTTTTTTTATTTAAAGTTTTAATATGTCTGCTGTTTGGCAGGCCGGCCATGAAATGTTGAGGTTATAACGCTTGAGCGTGCGCCGGCTCCAAGATGCGGCTGGGTAGTCGCCTTTGGTCAGGTGGGTCTTAGTCGTCCAGGAAGAAATAGTTCCCACTCTTCTTCTGTTCCGTGTCCTGCAGAGAGATGAGGCAGAGGTCAAAGGTTGGACTGATTCCTCCTCACTGACATCACCGCATATATAATGCTGGGAGGGCTACACTTTCTAATTATTATCTCTAAATAACCCCACAGCTGAGTGGACGACTGTGGCTCAGCACAGTAAAAGCTCTTAAGTGATCACATGTTACGGTAGAAGAGCCTTCAGTGAAACCGGAGGAGCACTGCGATGCTTCCTCGGGTTTGAACAGATTAAGAGAAAATACTAAATGCCTCTGAGCGGGTCAAGAGATTAGAACCTCAAATCCAAGGCTTTGGGCAAAAACAGTGAATCGTAAAAAACGTTTGCTTGAAGGGGCGGAGCTAAAAGTCCTCAGTCTCTGCAAACTCGCACGTCGCCTTGAAGCCGGCAACCGATTGCCTGAGAACATTCCAGGGTCCAGTTGCCTAGGTAACTCTAACACTTTTACTACCAGGTTGTATGTCGGTCAGCGGTGTTCTTCGCTCTCATTGGTTCGCCTGTAAGTTGAGTCAAGTCTATTTTGGTTCCCACCCTCCTCGTTGCACCAGCTGCTATTTCGTCGAAAGTCACTGACTTTGTGATCTCTGGTCGCCCTGTCGCTTCCAGCGTGTACGCAGCTTCATCTTTATCACATATTATGTCATCTTGTTGCCTAGCAACCACCTTCCAGTGGGCTAAAATGACCCATTTGGAGTATTTATGCACGGCAACACTTTATAACAGCATCGCATCGGTTTAATTTCAACAAAACTTGTTGATACAAAACTTGTTATGCATGACATATGATGTCATCATGTTGCCTGGCAACAATGGACTAAAACACAGCAAATCACACTGCAGCATGAGCATGTGCGACCAAGATAAATTAGGATTATTTTGACCTGAAAAGCTAATGGTCTCCAAGAAATAAAAACATGGAGCTGGAAATGAGCCTGAACCTAAATATATTCATTAAAACTATATTTATAATATATAATAATGCTTTCCCTCTCTATAGTGTACTGGTTTAGATTTGTGTTTCTTTGATTTATTTTTTAACAAATGGGTTTTATTTGTTAGATCAGCTTTAAAGAAACGTCCTTTGGGTTGAATCAGGAATGTTGTAAATCAAAATAAATCGAGTTTATGGATCTACCCGCTGCATCTTTGTCATGTAAGACTCTCAGATCTGAAGAAAGCTGATTTCCGCCTGGCTGAAGCACGGCACCAATCACAGCTGGACTCTGCTGTGTGGAGCTCTGTGCATCCTGACACCTGTGAGGCAGGGCACAGGTCACGATGAAATCACTACAGCTCCGTATCATTTATACCGGTGTTGACGGGCGAGGACTCGTCATGTGTCACCACTGACATAAAACCTCCACATCACCCCGGAGGAGGAGGAGAAGCCTCACACAGGTGCCCCTCAGTACGATCATTGAGCGTCTGCACTGACGTCACTAAAGCGCCGATAAAAACAACTACAATCATAAACTGCGTCAGCAAACTGGCTGCAGCGGCACCTGTGACAGGTTACCAAAATCAGGAAATGCACGACTGGCTGAAACGACACCCAGAAGTTACTTTTTAATATTATTAGTTCAGTGCTGCGTTTTCGTGTCAAGAGTCCGTCCGTGTGTGACGGTCAGTGTGTTTAAATAAAGATTCAAATAAACATGGTCGTCGTGGCGTTACCTTGATGGAGTTGAGTTTGTTGATCCTCGGCCTGAAATTGTTCGGATCTCTCCTGAATGTGATCTCCAGCAGCGACAGGAAGCGATTCATCCCAGCCAGCAGACTCTGAGGCCTGAAAAAACAAACATCACGTTACCGTGGCGGCGGCCGGCGAGCTGACGAAGCAGCTCAGACTCGGCGGTTCATCTTACGTGTTGGCTGAAGTCTTCTTGGAGGGAATCCCGTCAAACACGATGACTCTGTCGGCCAGGTAGGTCGCCATGATGAAGTCGTGCTCCACCACGAATGCTGTCTTCTTGGCGTGGAGGATGTACCTGCGAATAAAAGACGTGTCACAACAGCGCCACACACGGGCGGAGACACGCGACAACAACAAGGCCTTCTAATTACACTTCTTACCATCTTCCACCGCTGCAAAGATTAACCATGCAAATAACAAAGAACAGAAATACTGTTGAGCTGTAAATCATGCAAAGCTACTCACAGAGTCCAAGAATGAAGCTGAAACGAGGAGATTACCTGAAATATGATTATTAAGACGCGCTCTCGTCTGACTTTGTATCAAAGTAAAACTGAAAAGAAATCCTGAGTTTTAAGCCGCTCGCTGTGGTTGACGCTTGTGTGTGAGGATAAACAGGAAGGGAGCTGCTTGAGGAGCAGGGAGACTAACGCATACCTCTTGATGACTCTGGCGGCCATCAATCGCTGCTCGGAGTCCAGGTAGGCAGAGGGCTCGTCGATGAGGTACACGTCGGCCGGTTTTCCCAAACAGAGTGTGAGGGCGACTCTCTGCAGCTCACCTCCAGACAGGTTCTGCACCTGTGGGCGGAGCAGAGGCAGCTTCATCACCCCGTCCTCATCGTATCTCATTAGAAAACGCTTTCTACCCTCCAGTCGGCTCAAAAAGTCTCCTTACATTTTATTTTAATTATGTTTACATTGAGTCTGATGACACACAAGTAACAAAATAAAATGGAAAAAGATGGATCGGCGCCTTCTCCAGGACAAAGATCAGGTTAGTGTGTTTGTGTGCACCTCTTTACACATCTTTGCGGGGATCAAAAATTACAATGTTACTCTACTTGTGGTCCCTTATGAGGACAAAGGGCCTGTCCTCACGAGTTCGAGGGCATTTTTGAGACTCCAAATGTGGTTTTAGTGTCAGGGTTACAGTGAGGCTGATGGTTAGGGTAAGCGGCTAGGCTAGCATTAGGTTAATTAGATGTCCTCTAATTGTTTGTGTCTCTCTTACATCCTGGTCGATGATGCTCTCGATCTGCATCGGCTTCATGACGTCGGTGATGAACTGCGGGTGCGTGTAGGCGTCTCTGATCTTCTCGTGCAGCAGAGCTCGGACGCTGCCCTGAAAACGTAAAACACACTCGACTCCATCAGAGTCCGGACCTTGGTCGCTGCAGACGTTTAATCTGATGTATCAGATTTTAGTTTGGTTTTCATGATATGAACAATGGTCAAAGTCTGCTTCAACTTTATTTTAACTTTTTGGACTCTGAACCCTGGATTTCTGTAAATTCAGTTTGCTGACTAAAATCAATCAGCAGGCTGAAAGCTGTGAAACGGACGGGTGGATGATCCTGTGATGGGTCCGCGGTTAGAAAACGAGAGCTGACCTTGAACTTGGGGCTGATGGTCTGAGGCTTGTAGCTGACGTTCAGGATGGGAACCTCGCCTGAAAGACAGAGCTCAGGGTCAGTGGGTGCGTCTGGTTTAATCTGGCTTCATCTGAGAGAGAGAGACTCACCTCCTCCGTCAGGTCTGAGCCCACCGGCCAACATCCTGATGAAGGTCGTCTTCCCTGTGCCTGGAAACACACATACACACTTTCAGACGTGCACGTGTCAGCTTTTTCATTTTTGTGAGAAACAGAGGAAACAAGATGATCCATATTTTTATTATATTTCATATTTTTATTATTTTCCTTTAGTGCCATTTTAAATGAGCTCGTCTGAGCTACGAGATTTTTCATTATTTGCAACTTTTCTTCTCTGAAAGTAAATAACTGACTAAGAAAAATTACAGGTTCACACCCTTTAAATTCGATTTTTTAAAATTGGCTTGGAAATGATAAAATGTGTGACGGCCTCCAAAGCTGCTTCTAAACGAATCATCTGAAAAGTTCAATTTAAAAACCATTTTTAAACCTTGACCACAGAGATTTAGACTAAAACCCTCAGCGCAGCTCACCGTTCTCTCCCAGCATCACCATGATCTCAGAGTCTGTAAACTCTCCTCCTTTGATGTCCAGCGTGAACTCGCCCATCGTCTTCGACATGTCCGGATACTGAACGACAACAAACAATCAAACATTCAACAAAGAAGCAACTCGGCTCA